GAGGAGAGGGAAGAAAAACAGTGAAAGGCAAAAGGGAAGAAGAAGTAGAAGGAAATGGATTAGAAGAGAAGGAAGGATAAAGAGAGAGTTTAAAAGGAGACTAAAGAAGAAAAACGTAGGAGGAGAGAGAAATGGAAGGAGGGAGAGGCAAAGTGGATGAGGATGAAAAGGAGGAGTCAGGAGAGGCTCTGGACCTGGGCGGGGAGGCACATGTGCATATCTTTGCCACATATTCCTGAATAGGGCAGAGTGAAGCACGGTCCTGTTACATTACATGTAGCTATATTAGCAAAACAAATATCACTGCAAGTGCACCAACAATTATATTTCACCTCAGCAGTGCAGTGTTGACCACCAAATGTAAACACCCACAAAACAGTGCTGCTACATCACTTTAACTTGCAACTCATCTGCAGCTAGAAAACAATGACTGTAGTCATTTATTTGGATGACATTCTGCTCACACTGCTCTATGCAAAGTTCTCCATGATACTGTATGTCTTGGTCAAATCTATTGGCTTTATAATGTTCAAATGTGGAAAAGTCCAATCTATGACTTTATGGTAATGAAGGAGGGACTGCTGTGCTGCTAGCCAGGGTGTGCTCTTTTGTTTGACAACGATGCAGAACCAAAAAATAATCCAGTTTCTTCAGTTTTGAAACTTCGTATTCCAATGCTTGCACCCCCAACACTCTGCCAGTGACTTATACTAACATTAACCATAACTACTACCTGCCTAAACCTAACCTTACCACAACCTTAAACCAAGTTCTCGCCCTAAATTTCAATGATTTACATGGTGGGGGTAACACAAGGAAGGCCGAGTCCTCACAGCACAAGTGTCTAAACAGGTTTTGGTCCCCATAATGTCAGTAATACCAGGTGAACACACACACACCTACAGCTACACCTCCATCTACCCATCTTATCCCACAGACTCCTGAATTGAGACCCAGCCCAGTAAATGGGGGAGATAGTGTGCATAAAGGAGGGGGTGAAGGGTGGGGGTGTGTTGACAAGTACCCTCCCATTTCCCCTAGCCCCCTCCTCCCCCTGCCTGCCGCCATGCTGATAGGCCCCTAATGAGCCATAATGACAGGTAATCAACCTTATAATGATGATGACAGAGAGAGAGATGGGGAGAGACAGTAAGAGGTCACAGAGATGAGATGACAGAAAGAAAGGTAGATATTAGAGAAAAAAAAGACAACTGGCAAGACAAAGGATGAACAAACAGGAACAGAGGAAAGAAAAGACAGCAGAGTGACCTATTCCTACCACAATACCTCACTAAGTTATCAAATACTGGGAATGGCATAACTGCAGGTTTCTGTGGAAACTGTGGGGCACTCGTGCATGTGCACATACTGACACATACATTCCACATGCTGCAAGAAAATTAAATGTCTGTAGACCTAAACTACAGACATTAATCTTCCAGAATGAGAAGAAAGGATGTAAAGAAAGGTGGAGTGGAGCAGGTTTGAACAGAGGTCAGAGCGATAAATTAAAAGTTCCTACTAATGCAGAAATAGGAGAAAAGTCTGTTTCCTGTATTGAAGAGACAAGAGAAGGATTGTAGTATATTCTTAGATAATTATGTCACTGTACTGTTACATGTTAACACAAAATAACTATCTGGCAAAAATGACATAGTACTTGTAACAGGAGGACAGTCTCGTAACTTCGTTGTTTCACAGTTGACACTTTGATAAAGACATACATAGCTGGTTGAAATATATTTTTGTTTTATCAAGCCTTGTAAGTTTCTTGCCCTTAAACAGTTCACAGACTGCATCAAGAATATGAGGACTGACAAAGGGGAAATCCCAGGTATGACTGCAACATTACTGGATGGCTGTGGAGAGAGTGTTCCCGGACTCAGCACACGACCTTGGAGGACTCCCAAAGAGGTTCAGACAGCAATCCCTCAGTCCTGATATCCTCATCATGACTGGGAAAGCCATTTATGAGTTTCGGCTCCACGAGAACAATGCCATAGAGTTAGTCTCAAAGGAAAAAATTATTCGCACAATCACTTCCCTTGACCAAATCAATGAATTCCCTTTTCCTAAAAAAAAAAAAAAGATAATATCTGAAAGGTTGGATTTAGTACAGTTCTACATGCATCACTTACACTGTACAAGTTGTAATCAGCTTTAAGTATGACCACTTACTTTAAATGCTTACGCACTGACAATCACAAAGCCTAATATGGGATAACAAAAACTGATTTGAAAAGAAAGCATGTAGGGGGATTTTTAGTGCAGTGGAATGACTTTAACTCTAAATATGACACATGCAATAGCCAGAACTCACAAGGCCTGCAATCAGATTAAGTTACCACCTGTCTGGATAAAAGCAAATGGGCCAGTATGTATTTTCTTACATATTTAAGTTGTTAGGTCTGTTTAAAATAAGACCTTCAGTGAGTTTGCAAAAGAATGTGTCACTGTTTTAAGTGGTTGATGCTCAATGTGGTGCTGTATTATGGAGTCAAAATTCTTTCATTATATTATTAATAATGTATGTGTTGTAGTGTTACATTACAACCAAAATTACCTAAATTTGGAGGGATTATGGCACTTGGAGGTAGAAGATGGACAGAGGGACTGAAGACATCTGGTAAAGCAAGTCTGCTGTCAGTCAAATTCATTATTAGAAAATTCTGCAAAACCCCAGATCGCATTCAGTGCCAACATTTTTTAAAATTTTGCTTTCCACAAAATTTGTGCATGACAACTATGGTACAGTTAAGGCTAGAGAACAACTGTGAATTTGGTGACTAAAACTATGATTATACTGTGGCTGGACATCAGAAATACACAGAGAGTGAGGCCAAAATCAGCCTTGCATTAAAACAACACAAGGGACATCACCGGTGGGGTCGTGTTGCTTCAGGTACCACTGAGACATGATATATGATCCAAGAAGTCTAGTTGGAGTAACAGATTAATGCGTTTAAAGGCTTAACAGATGCCAGAAGACTGCACAAAGGTTAAACTCCGGCAGGATTTAACAACTCTGGAAAGTTGTCACAAGATCAAGAAGTAAAGAGCTGAAACATAGCGTTCACATTAAACAGTAATTCTCCAGAAATGTTTGCTTCAGTGTATACATTTGATTTGCTGCAGCAACTCGCCACACTGAGCATTGCAGATGTAGAGCGCGTTGTGGGTGGGTCTGAACGATGCCTCAGGTGTGAAATTGACCAATATGGGCATTATTCCTTTGGATCCTGGGCTGGACCGAGAGAAGGCTTTGATCAGGTTATTTGGCTGGGGTACCAGTCACATAGAACGACAGTGAGTCATAAATCCATCTGATATATTTCATACAAAAACAACACCTGGTGAAATACAGTAATGACCCTATGTGGCTGTGAAAAAACTTCAAGCTTGCTGATTGGAAACATGTCATCTCCTCTTCAATGGTTCTTTGTCACCATAAAGCTGAGAAAACCATCTGACTTTGTGCTTCTCCTTACAGCACTTTAATAGTTCTGTGGTGGTACAAGCCTAAAGAAACATTTTCAGGTACTATAAAGCATTTTCTGGTTAAGAGTGCAGGAAGCCGGTACGAGGCAGGTTTTACAGCTGGATGATGGATTCTGGTGAAGTAAACATGGTGGTGTCATCATCATTATAAGGTTGGAAAAATGAGGGTCATGCAAGAATAGCAGGCAGACGGACAGCGTCAGCAACTCTATTCAAAAGCTGACTGACACATGGAAAAGGAGGAAAGATGAAGAGAGAGAGAAAAAAGGGGAGGAAGAGAAGGAGGCACTACTGGTAAACACTAGGAAGCTAGGGAGAGAAGAAAAAGAGGACGAGGAGGAAAGTGGAAGTGAGGAAGAGAAAAAAGGAAGTTGGGAACATGAAAGCATAGAGGGAGAGGGAGAGAGATAAATACACAGGGTTAGTAAAGTTGAGACAAAAAGAGGAATGAATGAGAGGGATGTAGAGAAGGAGGAGCATCAGACAGAAAACAGGAGCAGGAGGAGAAGATGAGGTGAGGAAGAAAAGGACAAAGTAAGAGTGTCAGGAAGGACATAAGAGGGAGAGAGAAACCAAAGAAGAATGATGGTGAGGAGTTGCTGGAAGACTAAAGATGAAAAAGAAATGAAAAAGTGAGACATGAGGAATATTTATGAGCGGGGAGGATGAGTAGGAAGAGTATGAGAGATGAGAGAGGAGGAGAAGGCGAAGTGAGAAGTAGGACAAAGCAGTAGCAGTTAGAAAAAGGAAAAGAAACACAAGGAGTGAGAGAAGAGCAGAAGTGGGAGGAAAAGAGAAAAGCAGGAGGAGGAGGAGGTGGTGTTCAGCTTGGCTGCTACTCAATGATACGTTCCGTTAGATATCACACTGATGACTTCATGGTGTTGTTCTTAAATGGATTGAATAATATTTTTCTGGTAGGAGTTTTTCTGTACACATTGAAGAGTTCTCTTCTTCTGTTGTTCCTCTGAACTGTGGTGTTCCTCAGGGATCCATCCTTGGGCCAGTCCTCTTTTCTTTGTATTTACTTCCCCTTGGATCGATTTTTATGAAATATGGACTGTCTTTTCACTGTTATGCAGATGATATTCAAATTTATCTGCCACTGAATGTCAAGAAGAGCAACTCATTACAGACCTTGATGGATTGCCTGAGGGACATTAAAGCACGGTTATCACATAATTTCTTACATATTATTGAAAGTAAGACAGAATGTGTTTTAAATGGTAACTCTGGTGTCACTAATTGTCATATTCCTAGCTCTTTGGCCTCTTACCTGAGGCCTCATGTGAAGAATCTTGGGGTGGTATTTGATGGTGCTCTTAAACTGGACGAACAGATAACATCTGTGGTCAAAGCCAGCTTTTTTCATTTGAGACTTCTGGCTAAGGTTAAACACTTTCTTTTAGTGACTTTGAAAAGGCAATTCATGCCTTTATTAACTCTAGACTTGATTATTGTAACACACTGTATACTGGCATTTCTCAAGCCTTAATGTCCCAGCTCCAGTTGGTCCAAAATGCAGCGGCTCGTCTTTTTACTAATACAGGGCGTTATGAGCATATAACTCCAGTTCTTGCCTCAGTCCATTGGCTTCCTGTTCATTTTAGGATTGATTTTAAATTGTTGATGTTTGTCTATAAGGCTGTACATGGTCTAGCACCATCGTATATCTCTGAGCTTGTGTGTTTTTATGCCCCAGAAAGGACACTTAGGTCTTCTAACCAGTTGTTCCTGGAAGTACCAAAGTCTAGACTGAAACATTGGGGAGATCGAGCTTTTTCGGTTCGGGCTCCTATACTGTGGAATGGTCTGCCACGGGATATTAGATCTGCTCCGAACCTGACTGTTTTTAGATCACTTCTTAAAACCCATTTGTATTCACTGGCTTTTAACAACTTCACTGGTTGATGTATTTGTTTTGATTATGCATTTTTGCTGTAATTTTTTTGTGTAGATGTGTTTTATCTGGTTTTATTTATTTTTATGTTTTACCGGACAGCACCTTGTAACATAGGTTTAGAAAGGTGCTATATAAATACATTTTGCTTGCTTGCATTTCCTCTGGAGCTCCTTCTCCTTGTCCCTCTTATCCACCTCTTTTAGCACAGACAGGAAGAACTTCCTACCTCCATGTTCTATGCTGTTTTCCTTCAGATAAAAAACTCAGTCACACTACCAGTTGACACTTTCCCACTGAATTCAATGGGAAACTTTTCATTGGCAATGTAATAAAAACTCCTGCTTTCCAAATCACAATATTTCTAGCAAAGCAGTCACACATCTTTGGCATTTCTTTGCACTTCAGGCAGATGATCGCATTATCTGTACTAATGTGACAAATGACATGGCCTTTTGAGGTTTGATGCAGCAGAGATGAGGGCTGTGTTTACTGGGACATGGGGGTCCAGATAAAAGAAGCTCTCAGTTGAGGAAAATGCTCATATGCCCATCCACACCACCTTCAGTTGGTCCTGTGCCCTCACAGCACTGTGAAACTTT